TCTTTGGCACTTGGGATCCAAGGGCTCACTGTCCTCACGTCAGCTCTCACTGACATCACTCCATCTGCACCCTGCACGGCCAGATCCTGGGGATTTATTCCTAGTGGAGCCAGCAGTGCCCAGTGACGTGGAGACCTGCGTGTGGGCAAACTTCTAGCACAGCAGGGCAGAGCGTCATATGGATGAAAAGCAAAACCATCAGCAGTTTGCTTTAGCTCTGCTCAGGAATTGCACTGGTGCAGCTGGGCTGGTGGCTCTGCAGTCCAGGAGCCACTCCTAAACCAAACAGCCATGCACTGTGCAAACACCCTTGGCATTTCTACCCACTGCCTTCCAGATGTTTATCAGCTCCACCCACCTTCACGGACCTGGGGAATGCATGGCTGGTGGCTTGTATCGAGATCTGAGCTGGCTTTGGACAGGTGCCAGGGCACCATCAAAAGCCAAGGGAGCAAAACGCCTCCTGGCCAGGCAAGTGCATATGCCATCCCCAGTGGATGAATTGGGGGAGGCAACCTCAGGATACAGACATAACCACTCATATTGCCATCGGTTAAAACAACCCAACAGGCCCATCAGTGTCCACGTTCCTGAGAAACCACATTATTCTCCTGATCCTCATGCCCATTGACTTCTTTCCCATGTTTATATCATGTTCAGCTTGGGTTGTAGGCTTTCCTGGAGCAAGAAGCCAAACTAGATACAACAGTGCTCTCTTCTTGCCCATCTTTGTCAATCTCCTCACGTGCTTCCCCTTCCTGAGCTTTCCCCAAGCTCTTGACATGCCGCATGGAGGGTGTGGGGCAGAGCTGAGTGTATGGGTGCCACTATTCCCCGGTCCCTGTCACACAGCAGTCCTATTGAAGGTGTCGGCATGGGTCCGTTCAGTTGGTCACTCCATCTTGAGGGTCACTGGGTTGTCTCCAGTCCAAGTTCAGGCTGATGCTGTTAGTCTAGCCAGAAAAAGGATGATCTGCAGAAAAGAGGATTATTTCAATGTAGTCTATGAAGGATGGCAACCCAGCCAGTGGGTTTATGCCTGGTCTTCTTGTTGAGCCTACAACTTGCTTCTCTCAAGACGGTGGTAGGAGAGGAGAGGCTGGGTTAGTCATGGAAAAGCAAGGCTGAGAAATAAGACCATTTGCTGCCAGCGAGACACAGAAATAAGGAGGGAAAGAAGACAGACTTTGGCTGTGTAACTCTGGGACTCTGTGAGACCAAGGCTTCAATCAAGAGGAAATCCTTGGGCATCTGCTGTGGAAATAAGCTGCTGGGGAGCTAGAGGAAGGATCTGCACTTCTGGGGCTCCCTCTGGTTACTGGTGGCAGATATCCCTGTCCCCTGGTGAGAGGCTCCTGCCAAAGGATATGTGGGTTTGGGGGTATTTTTTCCAGCACCTCCTCCTATTAACAACAGTTTATGGATACCTCAATTTGTCTTTGTGCAGTGCTGGGCCTTCCAGGGAGTGTCTCTCTAAGGAACCCTGAGAGAATAGGATGAAGCAAACAAGAAATTGCCCTTGCTCTGCACATCGTGCCTTCCTCTTAAGTCAAAGCTCTGAATGAGCATTAACTCTTAAGCAAGGGGAAAGGCAAGCTGAGGACCAGACTGGCAAAATGTTGACCAGGATCATACAAGGAGAGCTGGGCAAAAAAAAACAACATTCAAAGGTCCTGAATTCTCTGTCATAAATTCTCCTCCTTCAAAATCTGAGTCTACTCCCTCCCCATGAGAAGTTTTGTCTGAAACAAAGATTAACATGTATGCATACATATATATACTATAATGCATATGGAGTGTATCTCTGTATATGATGTGCATATGTATTTTACAAATATTTTTGTCCCCTCCCCATGGATATGTGGGAGTCCTTTTCACGTGCATTCTGGTTTTGAGCTTTGAAATGATTGCATAGCACATTTTAAGACAATTCCCTTAATCACAAGAGGCAACAAGTCTTTTTCTTAAACAAATGACTAGATATTCATCTAATCACATGGATGCACACAGGGAAAAAATTAAGCCCAAGAGAGCTGGAAATGCTGCAGTGTTTTGCTGCACCCATCAGAGACACCCAAACACGCCCAGTAGTAAAGCTTTAATACCAACCAAACCCTTTAAAATGGCAATGCCTCTCTAGCCCCTACATTAGCATCCTCAGAGGTGTAGGAGCTTCTCCCAGACCTCTGCCTGGTTGGTAGAGGAGCTACAGACAGACCTGGGTCTTCCAGCCTTGGGTCTTTCCCCATGGCCACAGCAAGAGAAGGCTGAAGAGCAATAGTGGGACCACCAGGCTCGAGTTATCCCCCTTGCTGAGACGCTTTCCCAATCCCATTGCCCTGCATGGCACAGTCTTACCTAGTCAGCCTTGGCAGGTCCCCGAAGTTTCAGGGAAGGTGAGAACAAATGGGAAAACTGGGCAAAAAAGAATATGTCTTTTCTTTTGCCCAGCACCATCAGTCGATGCTTCTGGGGTGTTTTTGAGACTGTGCAGAGATTTAAGTGTGAGTGATTTTGAGATAGCATCTACCATTGCTCGGGGTGTCAGGGTGTGGTGGGGGGGGGATGCTTTGAAGCCGCAGTGCATTTCATTGTTAAATTGTGAAATAAGTTTTCTCTTTTATTTTCTGTGCTATTAGAGATTCACTAAATTAAAAGCAAGGGTTGGAGTTCCTGCTTTTCTGTTTCTTTATAGTGCTGTGGAGCTTCAAAGTGCTGCTGCGCGATCAGGGCTCCACTGTGGGGGTTAACATGAACACGAACCCATGGCCAAGGCATGGAGCTGCCTCCAGGTGATGCGCAGAAACAGGGGAACCATCTGCAGAACATTTGCTCATTTTAGACTGAGACTTTTAGAGCTGATGAGTCTCTGATTTCAATCTGAAGGATGTTATTTCACTCTCGCGATACGGCAGATTTGGAGAGTGTGTGCAGCAATACACTCGGAACAACTGGAGCCTGCAGCCCAGGGCATGGTCGCAATCCTCCTCTCACCACAGATGCTCGGAGATCTCCAGTTTCTTTAATCAAAACTGCAAAGCTGATGGAGGACCAGTGTTTTTTTCAGTCAAAGCAGTGCTGTTTCAACAGTTGAATTTGTTTTAAAATGGCCTGAAAAGGCAAGGGCACACCTCCCTCTAGTGCCCAGCTCAGTAGGACTTCCCCAGAGTGGTGTGTCTAGGAGGGAAGGTGTCACCTGGAGGTGGGACCCAGCCTGTCCTGAGCGCTCCAGCACCCCTGAGAAGGGCTTGCACCCCCTGCTCACCCAGCGAGGGCTTTGCCCCTGCTCCCCCCAAAGCTCGCAGGGATCGAAGGTGAGCGAAGCCCTGCCTTCCCACTCACCCCAGCTGAGCATTCCCACCTCCTCCTCTGCTCCCAGCTCTGGAGGGTGCCACGACCAAGCGGGGAGGGGACAGAGTTGCCCCCCTGTGTTGTTGGGGCTGGCGAGGATTGCAGCAGGTTGTCCCCAGGGCTGTGTGTGGTGGAGATGGTGCTGGGTCTGAAGAGCTGGATGAGTACAGGCTGAGGGAAGGGATGTGCAGGTACAGGTTAGGTTGGGATGGGGAGCTGAGAAGCTGGGGGTCCAGGAGAGGAAGGGATGCTGGGGAAGGAAAGGAAGGATGCTGGGGAGCATGTTGGGATCCCAGCACCCAGCACAGGATGATGGCAGGATCACACCAAACTTTTAGAAGGCGTGAGAGCCAGAAGGCTGGTGGAACATCCATCCCAATGCAAACCCTTTTCCTGCTCCCCAGCAGAGAAACCTGGCTCACCTCCCTGCACTGGAGGGTGGCCTCAGTGGCCAAGGTCCCCTGTCCTCACGGGATGGGGTGCAGTAGCAATACAGAAGCGACAGCTGGTAGGAAACACAGGACACATTTGCACAAGGCTTTGCGTTTCATTTCAGGTCAGCCTTGGGAAGCAATTACATTATCAAAGAGACCGGTTGCGGGGGTTTAGGCACATGCAGAAAAAAACATCGCTTCAAAATTACAGATGCCTTCTACAAAGCAATAACGTGAAACACTCATTTCTGCCCCGCAGAAATCCCACTGGGACAGAGGTGAAATGAAGCAGTGAGGTTGTCGGCAGGATTGGCCGCAGGGCAAGTCAGATGGTACAGGCAGCGCCCGGCGGGCAGATGGCCAAGCTCCGCGCTGCTCGTGAAGGACGTTCCTCAGTGGGACTTGGAGTAGGAGAAAGAGTGCCGCTGGGCTGTGGACGACGGATCACCCTGTGGGGATAACCAACACAGTTTGGCTGGGACATCCTCATTCCTGGCCATGTTTCCCCCAAAACAAAGGTTAACATTGCAAAGTTCCCGTTAATGCTCCCTGTTGTTGCTGTCACCTTTCTACACTCTCCATTTCACTGCAAGGAGCTTGGGCCTGAGCCCCATCTCTGGTGAAGCACAGGGATGTCTCCCCAAGGGTTCTCAGGGATGAAGGTCCCCCAGCATGGAGAATGGGTTTCCATCCCCCAGGCTAGGGGAGAATTGAAGTATCTGAGATGTTTGCAGGTGGTGAGTCAAATTTAGACATTTGGAGACCTGAAAGTGCCAAATTGCTCCCTAAAAATTACTCTGTTGTGGTTTCCATCACAGAGAAAAGAGAAGCAGCTGGAGCACCAGTGTCTGGCAGCTCCTGGAGTCCAGACCTCAGGGTCCTCCAACCAGGTGGCCCTTTTGTCCCTGGGATCTTTTGTGTCTGCCCAACAGCAGCCAGACATTGCCTATGCTGCAAGCTGGGGAGTCTTGGGAACAACGTGGAGCTCACAAAGTGACCTTTGTTCAGTGGAACAGCTTGCACCAGTGGGCAGTTGAGAAAGATCCAGGAGGATGTATCTGTTGAGCAATGAAGTGCACACTCATAACTCCTGGGACCGGGGGTGTGATGCAAACATTGGAAAGCCACCCAGCTGATGGGGCAAGAGGACAAAGCCAGCTCCTCCTTGGCAGTGCATCTCCCCAAGCTCTTACCTCAGAGGCTGGGGGTGCAGGCTCAAGACCTGGACTGATCTTCACTGAGGTTGATCTGCTCCAGGATCTGGCTGTACCTCCGGGTGAGGGCGTTGGTGTTTTTGGTGAGGTCTGTCAGAACTTGCTGCAAGCCACTGACGTGATGGGAGAGGCGCTCTTCCAGACTGCTGTCTGCACCCTCATCTAAGGCTGCATCAGTGTCAGTGCCGGCCAGGCTCTGGTCGGTGACGGAGGCCAGGCCTTTCTCCACCACGGGCTTGATGGCCTTGAGGAGCTGGTAGCGCTCGTAGAGGTCCGTGTGGCCGCCTGTGGCTGGGGCCGCCCCCTCCTGCTGCGGGAAGACCCCTCGGAGCAGGCTGGGGAACATCACCTCCTGCTCCATCTTCTGGGTGGCCAAGAAGTACTGCAAAAAAAACCCCCCCCCCCTCCAGCCACGCTGGTCTGGGCTCTTCTCGGGGTGCCGCCTGCTCCCCGTCCCCACCGAGGGCTTTTTATGTGGGGCCGGGGCATGTCCCTCCTCTGCTGTCCTCTCCTGCCAGCCCCCGGCCGGGCTGGACAGCCACGGGGCCGGGCTGGCTCCAGCCCAGCTGGGGCTCGGCCACGCCGTGTCCCTGGCTCTGTGCAATCTGTCCTGGCCCAGCCTCCCCGTGGCCTTCGCCCGAGCTGGCCGGGGGTCCCGCTGCATCCCCAGGCCCGGAGCGGGGTGGCGAGGAGGGGAGGTGCCCGGGGCCTCTTCCATCCCATCCCATCCACACCACCCTCAGTGCCCTGGGAGAGCAGGGCCAGCTCCTGTCCGCCAGTGTAGGCAGGCTGCAGGCAGCACCATATGAAAGCTACCTTGATTTAGGCAGTTTTGAAGAGGGAGGAAGGAGACCAAGAGATGTTTTTTTCTAGAGAGGAGGAGTCCCACCCTTAGCAAGCAGCCTTGATAACAGCCCCTGGTAAAAGAAGGTGATAATGAACAGGTGCTACTTGTCTGAAGGGTGTTTGCCCCAAACTGGTTATGTTAAGGAGGAAGATGGCCATCAGCTGGATTAAATAGTGACCAGGGAATTACAAAAAGGGACTTTAAACAAAGAAGGAGTCAGGCTGGAAGGAATCATCAACACTTCCAGCAAGAGGGAAAGATATTGGAGGGACGACAGCAGGGCCAGAAGCAGCCCCGCTGGCATCACAGAATCTGCCCTGGCCTGGCTGAGGTTCCTCCCCACCAGAAGCCACTGCAGCCAGCTCCTGGGCTGACAGCACGGGGGACACCAGTCAGGGACAGAGCCAGCGCCAGCGCTGGGGAGGCTGGAAGGCACCTCTGGAGGTGACCGAGTCCAACCCCCACTCAAGCAGGGTCAGCAACGGGACCAGGTCTGGTTGGGCTTTGGATGCCTCTGAGGATGGAGACGCCACCGCCTCTCTGGGCAGCCTGTGACAGTGTTTGACCACCCTGACTCTAAGAAAAAAGGAAGGGTTTTTTGATGTTCAGATGGGATTTCCTGCGTTTCAGTTTGAGCCCATCGCCTCTTGTCCTGTCACTGGGCACCACTGGGAGGAGTCGGGCTCCACCTTCTCCACAGCCCCCATTAGCTCTTTATCCACGTAGGTGAGATCCCCCTGAGCCTCCTCTTCTCCAGGCCGAACAGTCCCAGCTCTCTCAGCCTCTCCCTCCTCAAATGGAAAACGCTTCAGTCCTTTCACCACCGCCGTGGCCCTTCGCTGCCTCTCTCCAGTCCGTCCGCGTCTCCCTTGTACTGGGGAGCCTGCGCTGGACCCAGCGTCTGGCTGAGTCGCGGCAGGGCTGAGCGCTGGGAAGGATCCCCTCCCTCCGCCTCCTCCCGGGAGGCCGGTGGCTGTCCTTGCCTGGAGGACGCCTTGCTGGCTCACGGGCAACTTGGGTAACCGGGGAGGCAGAGCTGGGGGTGCGGGTGTGAATTGGGGGTGCCCTCCCCCTGGCACCTGCACGGGCGGGCGATGGGCAGCAGCAGGGGGTACGGCGGAGGCCAGAGCACCCCCGAGTCCAAAGGCAGGAGAAAGGTGTTTGGAATTTCTTACTTATTTAACATTTTGGGTGGAATCTGTGCTTTATCTCTGGTCTTCCTGAGGCTGAGCCTGCGTGCCCAGGTCACTGCTTTCTGGTTAATTCAATATGTCGATAACCAGGTAGAACTAAACCTGCAGTCCTGATCTGCTTCAACGATGTGAACGGAAACGTTCATTTCCCCGTGGCGGCTGGCAACAGTGCCGGTGCCCCGGGAGCCTTCCCAGGGCAGCACGGAGCCAGCATCCCCCTGCCATGCCGGAGAGGGCCTGATCTGCCCCGTCTGCCCTCGTCGTGCCAGGGACGGGCGCTGGGCTTTCGAGGACAAGGACCTTTTCTGTAAACATCTCGCGTCTCTTATCAGCCACGTCCAACAGCGGTGGCCGGCAGCCGGGCACCGCCGGGGCTTGACGCATCCCCGGGGGCGGCGTGATGCAATGCCCCGCAATCGGAGCAGGAAGGGACCTGGGGGTCCCGGGGGACTGCAAGTGGCCCAGACATCCTCAGCGTGTCCTTCCAGCTGTCCCACGTCCCAGACCTCTGCTGGGAACTTCTTGCGTCTCTCATCAGTCAGGTTCAACAGCGGTGGTGAGCGCGTCACCCGATGTCCCGTTATGTTACTTCCCCGGGGCACCACGAGCCTTTCCAGCTGCCCAGCGCTGCCCAAGCCAAAAGCCATTGCTGGAGGTGACCGCAGGCCTTCCTCGCTGTGACCACCGTCTTCTCCAGGTGACACAGGTCCCGTCCTTCAGCTCCAGCCAGGTAGACACCAGAGGGACATCACCTCCTCCATGGTCCTCACCTCACGGGGAACTGATGGTCCTCCATTCCTCATGGTTCAACAGAGGCAGAGGAGCTCCAAAGGTGGGTTGGAGACCTCATGTCCATCTTCCAGCTCCACTTCTCCCCTCGCCTGTGCTATTGCACCCCAGCTTGCGGTGGCATTGCAACGGGGACGGCTTAGGTGTCTCCCAATATCCCCCTTGTGCTCCACTTTCTCTGGATAAGACAAGGCTGCAACCTTGCCAGGGTGAGGGACAACACGAGGGCAGACCTACTTCAAAATCCTCGTGCTGGCTGGGAGCAGTCGTGTTTGCCCACGTGTTGAGGGACTTGGTGCTCGGCAGCTGCTTTCATAGTAAAGCAAGCCTTCTGGGCGGTGGTGCAATGAGATCCTCGGGTCTCTGCAGCCCCAGCCCCGGTGTTTGGGCAAGCCTTCCCCCAACCCACCGTGCTCTTGGGCAGCCCTGCCACAGCCATGGCTCGGGAAGGGGGACAATCTCACCCCACGGGGCTCCATGTCCACGTGTCCCCAGGTGTCCCCAGGTGTCCCCATTTCATCCCCGGCTCTTCCTTCTGTCTGATCCCCCCATGTCTCTGCCTCTCCCCGGCCCAAACTCTCTGGGACCGTCCTTGTCCTTGCTCAAACCTGCCTGGCACTCTTTCAGGAGTGGGAGGGCTCCCAGTCCAGCCCCCAGCTGCCATCCCCTCCCGGAGGGGTCCCTGCTGTCCTTCCCAGAGCCATGGAGTTGCCGGAGCCCCTCTCCAGAGCCCTCACCCCCGCACCGGCTCCTCAGCCGCTGGTGGCTGGTGTCCATGTCCCCGCTGTAGGGAGGATGAGGCGAAGCCAAGCTGGTCTTGAGAGCTGGGAGAAAAGTCCCAAACAGGCGAGAGGAGACGGGAGTCTCCATCATAACCCAAACCCGGACATGGGGTTGAGGTCCTGTCAGCGCTTGTGTCCCCGAGGGGCTGAGACCTGCAGCTCCGCTGCTGTTGGGGCCGGTCCCCAGGCTCAGCCCCGCTTGGGGCCGCTCCGGGGCAGAAACTCTGATGGGCAGGAGAAAAAGGTGTGGGGAGCTTTGGGGCACAGAGCAGCACCAGCCGCGGTGGGACACCCCCGGGGAGACTCTGAAGAGAACCCCGACCCTGGTGACTGTGTTGTGCGTGGGCTGATGTCTCCCTCCCTCCCTTCTGCGGGCACAGCAGCGGGGCTCAGGACAAAATTCTTCACACTGGCGGTGGTGAGGCACTGGCACAGGTTGCCCAGAGACATCGTGGGTGCCCCATGCCTGGAAGTGTTCAAGGCCAGGTTGGATGGGGCTCTGAGCAACCTGGTCTAGTGGAAGGTGTCCCTGCACACAGCAGGGGATTGGACTAGAGGGTCTCTGAAGGTCCCTGCCAACCCAAACCATCCCGTCACTCTGGCACTCTTTGTCCCTTCCAGTTCCCCATGATTACACGGGAAAGCCCCCTCCCAGCAGAGCCAGCGTCCCCCTGCCCCACGCCGGGGCGCTCCCCGAGGCTGCAGCCGAGGGAAAGCACCGCACCGACAGCGGCTTCACAGGGCTCATTTTATTAGCAAAGGTTGGGGAAAATGCCCCTCGGAGTCCAGGTACCAGCTGGAAAAGGGCTCGGCAGTCGCAGAGGACCGTCGGAGGTCGGGGCAACTGTGCAACGCCGCCGCCTTCGTGCCGCTCTTTGAAAATAAAGAGGAGGGCACGGGGTGTGCGGCTCTTCTGACGGACCTCCCAGCACGACCAGATGCTTCTTCCTATGAGGATAAGGCACCATCTGGTTCTCCGGTGGTCCCAGCCGTCGCCGGCGTGCGGTGCCAGTGCTGGGAGATCAGCTGCCGCGCTGCGGGGAGGGCGAGCGGGGCTGGGGAAGAGGCCGCGATGGTCAGCGATGGGGACGTCCTCTCCTTCGTGCCACCAGCACCCATCCTGCAACAGCAGCTGTCCTTAACCCCAAAGGCCATCCCAGGGAGATACCTCGTCCACCGGCCCCGGGTCCGTAGACCTGAACCCCTGGAGTCTCTGCACAGAGGGACGGGATGAATCCCCTCCTTCGGCATGGAGATCTGCAGCATTTGAGGGGACAGCCCCCATTTCAAGGCTTCTCCCAGGAGATCCCCACCCCTGCAGTGGGGGGACCTCCCCAGGGACGTTGGCCACCCCTTGTCCCGGTGCCCCGGGGCTCCGCGTCCCCCCAGCTCTTACCTGGCGGCTGGGGCAGGGTCACCAGCTGGGCTGCCCCTCGCTGGGGCTGATCTGCTCCAGGATCTGGCTGTACCTCCGGGTGAGGGCGTTGGTGTCCCTGGTGAGGTGGGTGAGGACCTGCTGCAAGCCGGCCAGGTGGTGGGACAGGCGCTCCTCCAGCTGGGCGTCCATGGTGTCGTCGTCGTCCGAGGACGTGTCGGTGTTGGTGCCGGTGCCGGCCGGGCTCTGGTCGGTGACAGAGGCCAGGCCTTTCTCCACCACGGGCTTGATGGCCTTGAGGAGCTGGTAGCGCTCGTAGAGGTCCGTGTGGCCGCCTGTGGCCGGGGCCGCCCCCTCCTGCTGCGGGAAGACCCCTCGGAGCAGGCTGGGGAACATCACCTCCTGCTCCATCTTCTGGGTGGCCAAGAAGTACTGCTCCATGGTCCCGCTCCCACGCCTCCGGCCACGCTGGTCTGGGCTCTTCTCGGGGTGCCGCCTGCTCCCCGTCCCCACCGAGGGCTTTTTATGTGGGGCCGGGGCATGTCCCTCCTCTGCTGTCCTCTCCTGCCAGCCCCCGGCCGGGCTGGACAGCCACGGGGGCCGGCGGGGCGGCGAGGAGGGGAGGTGCCCAGGGCCTCTTCCATCCTATCCCATCCCCCCGGCTCCCAGTGCCCTGGGAGAGCAGGGCCAGCTCCTGTCCCACGGTGCGGGCAGGCTGCGGGCAGCAGTGCTGCTGGGGGGCCGTCACCCCTGCCCCCTCTTTGCTGTCATGCGCTCGGGACGTGAACCCTCCGGGGACATTGAGCAACCCCCGTCTGCAACTGCTGACCTGGAGGCGGTGGCAGCTGCTGGTTTGGAAAATCTCCCTGGGGGTGCGCTGCCATGCGGGGTCCCACGTGGGATCCTGGCGACAGGGGATGGGGACAGGGATGGGACCAAACGCTGCCAATGGGAAAGTCACGCAGCACGAAGCTGTTGCTTCCCACGGAGGAGCGGGAACGGTCCACCACCTCCCCTGCTGCCCCCATTGCGGGGCAAAGGCCACGGCTGGAGCAACGGCCAGCACTGCCCATCCCCACAGCATGTGGCAATCGGGGAAGACTCTTCTATTTGGGGAAAGGCCGCAAGGTCCCTTGTCCCTTTTGCAACCCTTGATGGTGGCAGCTCTCCCTGCTCCCTCCCCCCGCCATTTCCCAGCCAGATGCCTGCGCTGCCACCCATCCTCTGCCTCCTCAACCTGTCCCCTCCACCCCTCTTGTCCCTTCCAGGGTGTCCCCAGCGTTTCTGGGTGTCCTGCTGCGTGGCCCAACACCGCACCGAGGTGGGCAGGTGCTGCAGGCCCCATGGTCGTCGGGCACCTGGGCCACCATGGAGCTTCCTGGAGGTCCATGGACGTCCTAGTGTCCCCCAGGGTGGGCACAGTGGTCTGCATTCCCCCTGAGGCTGGAGCCTCACCGTGGGGTTCGTGGAGGACACGTTGGTCTGCAGCCACTAGTGACAGTCATCAGCCTCTGCTGGGAGATGTCCTTCGCCCTGGGGACGCGTGGGCAGGTGCCACCTCAGCCAGCCCCCGGGGAGGGGGCTCGATGCCATGACTCTGTGGGACGTGAGGTCCCTCCCCAGGCACGTTCTCAGCCCACGGGGGCATCTCTGACCCAGCATCTCCACCTCTCCTGGGGCAGCTGGGCCAGGGACAGCCTGGAGCAGGGCTGTGCTCAGCACCCCGGGGCTGTGGTGCCTCAGTCCCCCACCTCTCGGTGGTGCCACGGGGGGATGTGACAGCAGGCAGTGCTGGGGACGACACGGGGACGCTTGGGGGCACATGTGTGGTGGCATTTCCCCCCCTCTGAGCCGTGGCTGGGGACGGGCTCCCCAGGAGGATGGCAGATGGGGGGGAGGCTTGACCAAACGCTGGGTCTGCGGCTGCAGAGACCGATGGATTTCATTGCACCTCCCAGGGGGCCCAATGTCCCTGAGTGGCCTCAGGGCCCATGGTGGCTGTGCCAGGCTCCAGCCCCGGCCCCTCTCCCCCACCCCTGCCCTCGCTGCTGGCAGCAGCGGGGCCCCCCCGGATGTGGGGGGCCCGTTTTTGGCTGATGGGGTCCCCGGAGGCACGGGGAGGGTTTGGGAATGATTCATGTCGCAAGGACGGGGATCTGGGGAGCGACCTGGGGCTGCAGAGCCCCTGTAACCCCCTGACCCACTGCCCCAAGTGCTGCGTCAGCTCAGGAGGATGATGCCGAAGCCGAAACAAGGAGCAGGGGGGCAGAGTGTCCCCTGCATCCCTCTGCCCCCGGAGCCCTGCAATGTCCCTGCACCTCCCAGCAGCTCCGCAGTGGCCCAAACCCGCAGCGTGGCCAAGCTCCCGGCTGGCACCTGCACGGGGCCAGCAGCACCCACGCACCTCGGCGTAGTGCAGGGTCCTGCAGCAGGACACCCAGAGATGCCAGGGGCACCCGGGAAGGGATGAGAGGGGTGGTGGGGACAGGTCTGGGGAGGGTGGGCGGCAGCGTGGGCACCTGGCTGGGACACGTCGGGGCGGTGGGAAGGCTGCCACCACCAAGGGTTGCAAAAGGGACAAGGGACCCCATGACCTTTCCCCAAATAGAACAATCTTCCCCGATTGCCACACACCGCAGGGACATGCGGGGACAGGCAGCGCTGGCTGCTGCCCAGCCGTGGCCTTTGCCCCAGATGGGGCAGTGGGGAATGGCCCCGTCTGCACTCCCCCGCTGGCAGTGACAGCTCCGTGCCATGGCCGCAGCAGTTTCACATCATGGCGTCATCCCTGTCCCGGTCCCTGCGCATCTGGGGAAGAGCCCAGGAGAAGGTGATGTTTCTGGGGACCCCTGTGGCTGGGCACCAGCTGGCTCCTGTGTCCCCAGGCCCCCACCTTGCAGCGCATCCCCAGTGGGATTTTCCATACATCTGCAGACGGGGGTTGCTCAATGTCCCCGGAGGGTTCACGTCCCGAGCGCATGACAGCAAAGAGGGGGCAGGGGTGACGGCCCCCCAGCAGCACTGCTGCCCGCAGCCTGCCCGCACCGTGGGACAGGAGCTGGCCCTGCTCTCCCAGGGCACTGGGAGCCGGGGGGATGGGATAGGATGGAAGAGGCCCTGGGCACCTCCCCTCCTCGCCGCCCCGCTCCGGGCCTGGGGATGCAGCGGGACCCCCGGCCAGCTCGGGCGAAGGCCACGGGGAGGCTGGGCCAGGACAGATTGCACAGAGCCAGGGACACGGCGTGGCCGAGCCCCAGCCGGGCTGGGGGCAGCC